CTAGGAAACATATAGTTCACTCTTTAGTCCTTCTGAAGGGTGTGTTTTAGGTTTGGGTATGTGAAAGAAGGATTCATTTATTAAATATATATATTTTACATCAAGCATATTTATGCTTGGACTTTAATAGGCCGAAGGTATTTAATATACTTATTTACTGTGTCCTGGATGTGTAGATAATTAAGAGTTGGATACACTTGTTGGCAAAGATGGTATTTCTTAAAATCCAATAAAAAAGTTAGGTCATTTACCTAAGATGATAATTAACAGCATAGGTACTGTTGTTCTTGTTAGGTCCATCGAGTCAAGTACAACTTATAGCGACTTTATGAACAACAGATCTGAACCCTGTCCTAACCTGTGCCATCCTCACACTTCCTGACACACTAGAGCCCACTGGAGCAGTCACAGTGTCAACCCACCTGGTCAAGGGTTTTCCTCTCTTTGCTGACCCTCCACCATTCCAACCATCACACCCCTCTCTAAGAAATAGCCCCTCCTAGCAACACACCTGAAGTATTTGAGACAAAGCCTCATCATCTTTGCCTCCAAAGAGCACTCTGGCTGCACCCTCTCCAAGACATATCTGTTCATTCTCTTGGCCACCCATGGGATGTTCAGTACTCTTCTCCAACATCACAGCTCAAAGGCATCAGTTCTTCTGTTATCCTTATTCATTGACCTTTGAAAACCCTACGAGCACTATAGGAACACAGATAATTACAGCAGTGTAATGACAGAGCCCAGATTGGGAGTCAATTGAAATAAGGGAAAATAATGACAAACATTGTTTAAGAATTGGAACATGGAATGTATATAACTTGAATGTTGGAAAACTGGAAATTGTTAAAAATGAAGTGGGATGCATGAATATCCACATACTAGGTATTAGTGAGATGTGATGGACACTTTGAATCAGATAATCATGTGGTATACTATACTGGGAGGGGGGGAAAACAAAAGAAGAATGATTTTGCATCAGTAGTCAAAAAGTCAATTTCAACTTCTACCCTGATACAATGTTGTGAGTGATAGTATTATCTATAAGCATACAAGGAAGAGCCATTAACACGACTATTATTTAAATATACACTCCAACATCTAGACCCAAGGAGGAAGAAATTGTGAATTTTTACCAAATTTTGCAGTCAGGAATTGACTGAAAATGCAATCAGGATGTGTTAATGGTAACTGGTGACTGGAGTGCAAAAGTTGGAAATAGTGAAGAAGGATCAGTAATTGGAAAATAAGGGTTTGGTGATAATGAGGCTGGAAATAGAACAAATTTTGTATTTTTAGTGATTTATTAATTGCAATTACTTTTTTTAAAAAGACATGACTGATGACTGTACACATGGATCTCTCCTGATGGGCTGCACTGGAATCAGATGGACTACATCTGTGGAAAAAAATCATTGAGAAGTTAAATCCTGGCAGTCAAACTAGGCCAGGGGAGGGCTATGGTTCAGACCATCAATTACTCATATGCTAAGTTCAAATTGAGGCTGAAGAAAATGAAAATAAGTCGGCAAGAACCAAGATATGATCTTGATCTACATTCCATCAGAATGTCAAGATCATCTTAATAATAGGTTTGAGGCCTTGAACAAGAATGATTCAAGACCAGATGAGTTTTGGGATCAAGCAAGGATATCATCCATGAAGATAGTAGAAGGTCATTACAAAGAACAAACCAAAACTCTAAAAATTACACTAGAGCTTCAAGAAGCCAAAACAAAAGGAAAACATGCCAAAGTAAAAGAGCATTAAGTGGGTGGGCTGCAATCATGGTCAGCTGGATGATAGGGATGAGAAGTCCTTATGGACTTTCCATGGAAGAAGTCAACACCAAAGGTCAGCGGAGCTGGGAAGGGCGATGGAGAAGATAGAGCACAAGTCTGGTCTTGAAACTACCAACCAGTTGCTGTCAAGTCAGCCCTGACTCATGGTGATCCTGTGTGTCTTAGAACAAAACCAGTCTCCATGTGGTTGCCAAGGGATGGCTTTTCTGAAGGAGATGACCTGGCCTTTCCCCTAAGGCATCGCTAGCTGACTTGGACCTCCATAGTTTTGGTTCTAGCTTGGTGCTTTTTTCATTTGCACCACTCAAGGGTTTGTGAAACAAGGCCTAAACTAGGTAGGTAACAAGGGGGTGCATCTCAAGGAGAAAGAATGAAGAAAATGGGTAAGAGAGAAGATGATGACCACAACATAACTGCTGATTGTTTTGTTGAGAGAGATAATTTCTCACAGTCTCAATGCCGGACAGAGAATAAGGAAGACTGGAGAAGAATGAATGCCTTTGTATTACCAGTTAGAGAAGAATACTGACTATACCATCCATGGACTGCCAGAGAAGAAACAAGTTTGTCATGGAAGAACAACCAGAGTGCTCCTTAGAAGGGAGGCTGGAGAGACGTAAGCTCACATCCTCTGGGCATATTATCAGGAAGGGCCAGTTCCTGAAGAAGGACGTCATGCTGAGAGTCAACGAAAAGCGGAGGACCCTCCACAGGACGGAGTAACACAGTGGCTGCAACAATGGCCTCAGACTTGGCAACGACTGTGCGTGGGTCACTATGAGTTAGAACTGACTCAAGGGCACGTACCAAAACCATCCTGAGGAATGTGGTACGTTCCAGCAGTGGTGTGTGTTCAATATTAGCAGGAGAATGAGGCTTTATCTAACAGGCACTGGGAAGCCTCTGCAAGCTTTTAAATCGAGGCACATACACATCAATACTTCAGGAAGAGGAATTTAAAGTGGTTTAGAGAAAACAGGGAGCTCTGGTGGCTTAGTGGCTAAGAATGCATGACCAACTCAAAGGTATGTAGTTCTAATCCACTAGCTGTTTTGCAAGAAAAAGACAGTCTCCTCTGATACAATTTACTGCCTCTGAAAACCCACCGGAGGGTCAGCTATGGGTTGGTTCCGACTCAATGGTACATAACAAGAAAAAACAGTGTGGATGGAGGGGTGATCCAGGCAACAGCACAACTGTAATTGGTTAATAAGCAACTGGTTACAGAGACTATAGCTCTTAGACACTCTTCAAACCCAAAGCTGAACCTGTTCCTGGAGACCAGGAAGAATATACTTCTCAGAACAATCAACCCCAGGTGACCAGAACGGCAGCATTTGCCCAAAACAAAGCTCAGAAGGCAGGAAAGGACCGGAAAGAAGGACAATGGACACCAGGAACCCAGAGGGGAAGTGGGAAGAGCACTGACCCGTTGAGGGGACTGCAATGCATGTCAGGAAATGATCTCTGTAAAAATTGTTGTGTAACAAACTGGCAGGCTTTGTAAACTTTCACCAAAACCACAATCAAGCATTCATAAAAAGCAAAAGCAACTGGTGGAATCTAGCTGAGGGTATGGTGGTTGGGTCTCAGGCCAAGTTTTAAAATCAGAAAGAAAAGAAAGTATAAGGTAGTCTGTCAAGTTGTGTCATAACTATCACAGATGTCACAGTTTATACATATTCATATGTATTATAAATATTAGATACTTTATATGCAAATATATGCTAATGAATATATACAACTCTCTCTATCTATCTATCTATGTATCCTGCCCATCCTCCCAAAGAACAGCTAGTGGATTTGAATTGCATGCCTTTGAGGTTGTAGTGCAGCGAGATAGATAGATAGATAGATAGATAGATAGATAGATAGATAGATAGATAGATAGATAGATAGATCTTGTAGCTTAATAAAGCGTTGCACTGCCAACCTAAAGATATGCAGTTCAAATCCACGAGCTGCTCTGCAGGAGAAGGAAGGGCAATCTTCCCTGGTGCAATCTGTAGCCTCTGAAAACCCACTAGATGGTTCAGACTTGATAGTAAACAACAATAACATATATATAAATATACATTTTCCTTTTTCAAACTGTGCTTTGAGTGAAGGTTTACAAAGCAAATTCAATTTTCATTCTACCACACATACACATTTTGTTCTATGACACTGATTTCTACTTCTATTTAGGAGCTCTGGTGGTACTGTTGGTGAAATGGTGACAGGTTCAAACCCACCAGCTGCTCAACTGGAGAATGATGAGGCCATATATTTCTGTAAAAACCATAGCCTTGGAAACCCTATGAGTTTCCTCTGTCCTACAGGGTCGCTGTGAGTCAGAACTGACGACAGCACGTAACAACTAGGACAAAGACTGAACCCACTGCAAGCACTGATCCAGAGAACTGCACAGATGTTTGCAATCAGTGTTTGTTAACTTAGGTTTATTCGGCAGCTGATTGGAAGGTGGGTGGTTTGAATCCATTAGGCGACCCTCTGGAAAGGTCACAGCTTGGAAACCCTGTGGGGCAGTTCTACTCAGTCCTGCAGCTGCTATGAGCTGGAAATCAACTTGATAGCAATGGTGTGTACACCTAGTTTGGGGAGCAGAAGTCAAGCAGAGTTTTCGAAATCTGATGAAAGAATGGACCCTCTACACACACACACACACACACACACACACACACACACACACACACAGCATTACATACCACTTCAGTGGGTTCATGAACACCAGTCACTTATTGTTCTACAATCCCACATAAATAACTGGCTAACAAACATCTCTATAATAGAAAGTTTATTTCCATTCATAAAATATATCACTAAATAGCTGAAAAAGTTACATATAGTTTTAAAACTTAGATTTAGAAAATCATATTAGCTTCTTAGCAAAATGCTTCTGTTTTATGTATTTACAAGAAGATCCTTCTGGTCCACACCATTCTTGCAGTCAGCCTTGAGAGGTTAACGGTCCCAGCAGGTTACCAGCTCTTACAGGCTCTTGCTAAGGATGATCCAGTTTTACAAAAGTCCCTTTGAAAACAAGAGTAATACAGAGAGCTCCGAGAGGAAAGTCCGGCAAAGCAGCAGTGGATAATATATTTTTCTCTTAGTGATGAACTTAGCTTCATTTTGGGTAATCTACAGCCTGTTTAAGGTAGGCAGGGGTGGAGTCCTTGAAGACAAAGTCCATTTCCTCTATGACTCTTCCTGCTGAGCCTGTGGAGAGGGGGCCTCTGGGCTCACCTCTTGATTGCAAGGCTGCCTGTTTTGGTAGCTGGAAGGTCGTTCCAATGCACGGTCATCCATGTTCTGATACATCTGAATAGGAGACAGAGACAGTGATCATCCAGTAGAGACTTCAGAGCCAGTAACCAATGCTACTGAGAACATTGCTGAATGGGAAACCTAAACTGCTATGTCAACCCTCACTAAAAGCAGACAAACAAAACTTCAGTTTCAAGTGTCTCTAACACAATTTTTAGAAAAGATGGTTACATTTAAATCATTATATTAGGCATAAGGCATAGAAGAAAGCTACACAATAATTGAAAGGGTAATTTTGTTCCTTCTATTCTTGGAAGCTCTGGTGGCTTAGTGGCAAGGAGTTGCACTGCCAACCCAAAGACATGCAGTTCGAACCCAATAGCTACTTCATGAGAGAAAGATGGGCAATTTCCTCCTATATGATTTACTGCCCCTGAAAACCTTCTGGAGCAGCTATCAGTCAGTTCTGACTTGACAGTACCCACAACGATTCTTGGATTAGGAAGTCCTGATGAGATACTAACTAAAAGATTGATGGTTTGAATCTTCCAGCTGTTCCCAGGAAGAAAGACAAGTAGTGTCTTCCTGTAACATTTATCAGCTTCCAACTGAACTGCTATGAGCCAGAACTGACTAATGGCAGAAGGGTTATTTTGTTTGCTTGTTCTTGGATTGACAGCGTGGCTGCAACAGTGACCTCAAGGACAGCAGCGATAGTGAGCATGGCACAAGGCGAAGTGTTTTGTTCTGCTGTACACGTGCTGGCTATGAATCAGAATCAACTCCCCTGTGACTAACAACAATGACAATAACAATTCATGGAGAAATAAAAGCAGAGTGAAAGATTTTATTTCATTCTTGTATCTACTTGAGACTCAACTGTCCTTCTAAAACCCTGAAAACAGTGCAGATGAATCCTAAAAGAAAGGCTTCAAAAAGGGATTTGTTCATTATGTAATTAAGGCAGGGGCCGGAGGCATGAGGTTTGTGTCTCAATTTCTTTTTTCCAAATGAAAATAGCTTTACTTTCTCTCATTGATTCTAAAGAGAATACTTAGCCACACAGTTAAGCAATGGAGAAAGGCATTACTTAAAAAGTTACAGTCACTCAGATAGCCACGTCTATTGGAATCCTACAGTGCACACTCAATTTTGCACCAGGAAGTTGGCTGCATATTGTCCTGTTGTTATTGTTAACTGACTCACAGTGAGCTTATGCATAATGAGACTGGGTTTCCACTGGCTCATTTTCAGAAGATCACAGGCTGAGGATTCCCCGCATATTGTTCTGTTCTTGCCGTTAGGGACCATCAAGTCAGCGTTGACTCCTCACGACCCTGTGAACAGATCTGAACCTTGCTGTGTCTTATGCCATCCTCACAATTTCAGATATGCTCAAGTTAATTGTTACGGTCACTGTGTCATTCCATCTTGTTGAGGGTCTTCCTCTCTGGTGCCCCTTGACAACATGCCCAAAGCAGGTGAAATAAAGTTTCACTATTCTTTTCTCTAATTTTGTTCCAGAGCCTTAGTTTTTAATCACTAATTTATTGTTCACATGTTGCATACACTACATATTTTCCCCATTCTCTAAAGATGGTTACATGCCATCTTTCCAATGGTAGCCTAGGGTTCAACGGCACTGATGGACTTGGTGTCTAAGAAAAGTCAAATGTGTACACATGACCTACTTTGTCCTTGGGGTGAATGAAGGACATGGAACTGCTGGATGTGAGGGTATATGAAACTGAATTGTGATATACTTTGCCAGACAGCCAGAAACACTGTACTCCTCTCCTACCAACTGTTCCTGGAGCACTGTTTTCACCTGACTTTTACCAACAGTGGGTCTTAACAATCTTTTCTATTTCTGACCCTTTGATAAGCAACTTTTGGTTCCCTTACCTGTATATGTCTTAATATACATAAAGTTGAATTCTTTCTCTATATTTAATGATTCTTTGGATTTCATTGTGAATGGCCCATTTTATTCCTTTTCTTATATTGGGATATATATATATATATATATGTTTTATTATTCTTATTGATTTGCAAGAGCTCTTTGTATTTTAAAGACCCTTTATTCTTTTTTATTTCAATTCTACAGACTCTTCCCTACTCTCATCTTTGACTCTATTTATTTCCCTCCCCCCCCCCCGTTAGCCAGCTTTTTATACTCAGTTATCTTCTAGCAGTAAGGAGTTGTGCTTTTTTTTTTTTTCTTTTCTTCTCCCTGCCTCTTTTTAAACAGTCCCTTGGTAAGGACTATCCACTTAGCTTTGTATCCAAAGACGAAATTTGTAGGTGAAAGGAGTTAGGAGTTAGCCTTCGTTACAGACTGGTTCATTTCAGGGTCGAAAATATGGAACGCTTCATGAATTTGCGTGTCATCCTTGCGCAGGGGCCATGCTAATCTTCTCTGTATCGTTCCAATTTTTAGTATATGTGCTGCCGAAGCGAGCACAGGAGTTGTGCTTTCAACCCAAATGTTGGTGGTTTGAATCCATCAGTTGTTCTACAGAGGAAAGATAATCAATCCCTTCCCATTTTATATACAGCCTCTGAAAACCCACTTTCAGAAGGGTTGGTTATGGGTCAGTTCTGATTCAATGGCATGTAACAATATCTTCTAATCTTAAAGTTTCTTTCTAGAAATCCCTCAATTTCTTTCACATATTCTGATCAGTTTGATTGGTTGACTAATCAGTTATTGGGTCTAAGCCAGCAACCCAACCCAGTGACATCAAGTTAATTCTAATTCATATCAACATTAAGACAAAGTAGAGCTGCTCAGAAAGTTTCCACAACTGTACTCTTTACAGAAGCAGCTTGCCTATCTTTCACCTATAGTATGGCTGGTGAATTCGAATCACCAACCTCTTTGGTTAGTAGTTGCATACTTTGACCACTATACCTCCAAAATGCCTTTTAGTGTCTCCTTATCCACTTCTAGAAAAGAGTATCATATGAAATTTAATTATAAAAGGAATACACGAATACATTTTCCTTACAAAACCTGGAATCCATAGGATCTGAAATATCTAAGTATAAATATGTACATAGGACCAGGAGGCAGTCATCAGAACAGAGCAAGGGATGTGTCCTATCTCCACACCTTTTAAATCTATATGCGGAACAGATTATCCGGGAGACTGGCCTCTATTATGAGAAATGTGACATCAGAATTGGAGGAAGAAAAAAAAAAGAAGAAAAAAAAAGAATTGGAGGAAGATTCATCAACAATCTGCATTATGCAGATGACACAACCCTGCTTGCTGAAACTGAGGAGGACCTGAAGCGCTTGCTGCAAAAGGTCAAGGACTGCAGCCTTCAGTATGGATTGAAGCTCAAGATCAACAAAACAAAGAATCTCACCACTGGGCCAGTTGGCAGTATCATGATAGATATGAAGAGATTGAGATTGTTGACAGCTTTAGTTTGCTTGGCTCCACAATCAACATTATTGGTACCGGCAGCCAGGAAAGTAAAAGATGAATTGCATTGGGAAAGTCTGCTGTCAGAGACCTCTCCAAAGTACTGAAGAGCAATGATATCAGTCTGGAGACTATAGTGTGCCTGATACAGGCCACAGTCTTTGCAATTACTTGCTATGCATCAGAAAGCTAGACAATGACATAGAAGAATTGACACTTTTGAGCTGTGGTGCTGGAGAAGAGTGTTGAAAGTATCATGTACTGCTAGGAGAATGAACAGGTTCATCCTAGAGAGGGTGAGACCAGGCTGCTCCTTGGAGGCAAGGATTCTGAAGCTCCATCTAACATACTTTGGGCATGTTGCAAGGAGGAACCAGTTCTTGGAGAGGGACATCATGCTTGGGAGGGTGGAGGGAAAGCACAAGAGAGGAAGACCCTCAATGAGATGGACTGATCCAGTGACCGGGGTAATGGGGGTAGGTGTGTCGGAGACAGTGAGATTGGCACAGGATAGAGCAGTTTATGGCTGTTGTACATAGGGTCGCTATGAGTCGCAGGTGACTCGATGGCACATAATAACAACAACCACATCAAAGAAATTTCTTACAGTTTTTTAATACATGATGGTGCTACCTACCGCTTCCTCTGCATCTGCCAGCTGGCATCCGAGAAACGAAGTCAGGTTAGGGAAGGAGGGCCGCTTCCGTGAGTCAAAAGCCCAGCAGGACTGCATTATAAAGTATCTGCAAAAGTGAGGGAACACAGAGCCAGGTGAACAAATCAGAAAGCGTCAAAATGGATCTTCTTCTGCATAAGGAATGCCGCTTTTGCTCTACAACTATTTATTTGTGGCATGGCTGCTTTATGGCAAGAACTCTACTATATATTAGGAGTCCATATCTGAAGCAAGAGGTTAGATGGTAGGGATGAAAACACCCAACCAACTCAAGTTGCCATTGAGGTGACCTGACCTGTGGTGACCCATATGTGTCAAGTAGAGGCTGGCTTTTGGAAGGATCATCAAACTTCTCTTCTAAGGCACCTCTGGGTGGCCTTGAACCACCAGCCTTTCAGGTGGAAGTCAAGAGTTTATTTGTTTGAACCACTCAGTGACTCCCAGATGGTGGGTGGAAATGCATTTTTAAAAACGTAATATAGAACACAAGTCAGGAGACAGAGAGCCTCGGAGACCTGTAAACTAAGAACTCATCTCAGAAAAACACATGGCTGTCAAGTCGGACCTGACTCATGGCTGACTCTCGAAGTAGTCTTCAGGGGCTGAGGAGTTTGCCCCTTTTCTCCTGCAAGCTAAGGAACAGACACCCAGAATTATGGGCCTATGAGGTAGGGCTTCCAATTGGGTCATTCCACTGCCACCACCTGCTGAGAATTTGCTCTTCCATTCCACCCACAGCCATGGAATCTATTCCAACTTATACCAACCCTATACGGCTGTGCTCTTCACTGAAGAAGCCTGCCTAATCGCTCTCCCTCAGAGCAGCTGGTGGATTGGAACTGCTGACCTTTCAGGTAGCAACACTTAACCTACTACACCACCTGGGTTCCTTTTTCATTCCAAATACACTGAATCAGAACCTATGATTTAACAAAATTCCCAGGTGATTTTTACACATACACACATAGGAATCACCAAAAGGTCCGTAAGACTCTCCTGTTAAACTGTAGATAAGGATTCAGTCTGTCTGGGCTGGAAGAACAAACCAGAATAAACTGGTTCAATGTTCTGCTCTAAAGACAGGGGAAATTTCAGTGTGTTCAGGAATCTTCTTCCAAGGCCCTTAAGCCCCCACTGCCCCAAGGAGTTTTCTTTCTTTTTAAAAAGACAAAAAAAAAAATCATAAACTTTACGTGAAAAGATTTTTTACTTAAAAAATATATTTGAAATTAAAGATTTCATCCAGTTTACAGTCTGATTGGAACGTACATTTCTTCTGTAGCGTAAAAAGGCTGGTCCATTTTAAATCCACTTTGAATGAGTTTATAGAAGTTTGCATCAACTGGAATCCCAGGGTAAGGGTTCACACCTGAGAAAAACATTAGAGACATAGATAACTCATCCCATGAATTTCTGTGTGTTCATCCAGTCAGTTAACAGACATCTACTGAGAACTTCCATGTGTCAGGTGCTAGGGTAAAGTGCAAAGTACACCCCCCAAGCAGATTAGAGTCTAGCAGGGAAGATGTTGTGTTTTGGTGTGTGTTTTGTTTGTTTGTTTTTTTAAATGAGATACAAAGCAAATCAGTTTTCCACTTACACACATTTTGTTTTATGACATTAATTACCATACCCACTATGTGAATTCACTCTTCCCACTTCCTCCTTGTGATTCTCATTTCCTTTAATCCTTCTACCCAGTACCCCTTCCAGCCCCTTGAGCTTTATCCTTCGACAAATAATGCCCTTTTCATCATATATGGTTAATTATTCTGAGAGGTGTCATCCTAGTCACCTTACAGGTCTATCATTTGCTGAAAGTTGAGTCACAGAGGGGAGTGTGTGTGAGTTTTCTTTTGAGTTCCAAGGGTGATTAAGGGAAATAGTACTGGAGGCTCCACCAGTCCCTATCTTAACATCAATCTTGGCCACTGTCATGTTTTTGAGTTTTGTTCCACATGTCCCTTCACTCTATCCAGGACTTTCTAAACTCTGTTAGAATGATCACCAGTGGTAGCTGGGCATCATCTAGTCCTTTTGGTCTCTGGAATTGAGGTTCACTTAGTCCACTGGCTCTTTGGACTAATTGTTTCAGTACAAACTCTTTTTCTTCTCTATTCCAGGCAGAGATAAACATGCCTTGGATAGTTGTGCCTTAGATGATCGATTGAAAGCTTGAAGACTACCACTGCTACTTACCACAGAAGGATATACACAGTCTTTGTGGACTATGTTCATGTCAATTGACCTTGATGTCCCCTGAGACTATGGTCCTGGAGCCCCAGATCCAGTAACCCATTCCTGCAGGGGAGATGTTGCTTCCAGCTGCTATCCAGTCATCCTTGACTGATGGTGACCCCCGAGCACAATAAGACTGGACCATTGTGATCCACAGGGTTTTAAATTTTGGAATTTTGGAGGTAGATCACTGGGTCTTTCTTCCCAGCTTGTTTTAGCTTGGAAGCTCTGTGAAATATGTTCAGCATCGGATCAACACACAAGCTTCCACTTGTCTGGTGGTGTGTGTACTGTGCATGAGGTATATTGACTGGGAATGGAACCGAGGTCTCCCAAATGCAAGACAAGAATTCCATCATTTAGCCACCACCACCTCTAGGGGGAAAGCAGCACTGTCTCTATGAACAAATGCCCCTAGGAAAGACAAACATGAGCCAAAAAATGCTGCCTTTATGAATAAATGCCTCTTCTGCCACGAGGACAGAACTGGATAGGGCCCAGCTAACCATTACTGAACATTCTGACTAAAGACTATGTCAATGAGTATGGATCAAAAAGGGTGAGATCCAGAGCATATTTTCAAAACCTCAGGGAGCCATGGAGGTTAAGTGGGTCTCTGAAATAACTGCCATAAGATAATCTTTAAATCCTAAATTTAAAACCATCCCCTGAATTCTTCTTCAAATGAAATGATAGAATATTTTTAGTTAAGCTACATTAGTTAAGTGTAGCTAAGTTAAGGTAGTAAAGGTCTATCTTGAACAACCTGCTCCTTTAAGATCTATGTTTGGGCAAAGAGCACTGAACATCCCGCTGGCTGCCAAGACAACAAACAACTCTGTCTTGAAAGAAATGCAACCGCACCCAGCGCACTCCTTAGAGACAAGGATGGTGAAACTTCATCTCACAAGCTTGGGCATGTGGTCAGGGGGTGCTGGTGCTTGGAAAAAGACATCATGCTGGAAAAGGCAGAGGGTCATCGAAAGAAAGGAGGACCCTCAATGAGAAGGAGTGGAACAGAGACTGTCACATGGCCTTAAGCATGGTGGAGATGCCAGGATGGTGTCGAACAGGTCAGGGCTTTGGTCTGTGGTTCACAGGGTGGCTATGAACTATATTCACCACAATAGGACCTAACAATAACAACAACACATTATGGGATCAAACTGATGGCAGCAACTTGAAGGACTGGATAGGAATCTTGGGGGCAGTGAAGAACTGTCAGAAAACAAGGGTGAAACTGGCTACACAACTCAAAGGATGCAACCAGAGTCACTGACTTGGACAGGTAGAAATGGTTAAATTGGTGAAGGTTCTGCTGTGTATGTTCTCAATAATCACAAGGTAAGTAATCAATTAAAGAAACATGTCACGTGCTACAATAGAAGACTAAGGAGCTGTGGATGTGCACTGAGGTAGCACTTAGCCCAGCCTGTAAAGGAGGAGTTAGCGAGGTCTCATAGCGAAGCTCAGAGGATGTGCAAAGGCTCGGTGCCAGGGAGGGCAGCAAACCACAGGACGTACCAAGTGAGAAAATTTCCCAGAGTAATATTCCGTAGGACCAGACGTCACTCTTAATCGTGTAGACTCCTTCAAACAAGCTTTCCGGAGCCATCCATTTGACAGGCAAGCGGGCCTGGGGAATCCCAAGAAGAAAGAAGAAGGTGAATTTTCTGCAGATGGACATGGCTTCTTTTTTCTTATTAGCCGGACTCAAAACCAAACCCAAACACAAACCATTGATGCCAAGTGGATACACTGACTCATCTTTCTCCTGAGGAAGAGTCTGAACTGATGACTGTTAGGTTAGCAGCATAACGCTTAACCCACTGTGCTACCAGGGCTCCCATTAGTGAGATCACAGTGTTGAGCATATTCCCAAAGGTGCTTAATTTTAAAGATTTACAGTACTCAAGCCATTTTGAAATGGACAATCTAAAATAGCAGCCTTAATCAAAACTTATTCCTTTAAAGCATATCTCCAACAAAGGCTTCTGTTTGGACATGGTAAATTAGCAGTGTACAATTGCTTTCTACTCAGGAGTGTCATGGTGGTGCACTGGTAAAAGCACTTGTCAGTCCAAACCCACCATGGGAGAAAGAGGTGGCATTTTCCTTCTGAAGAGATTTGTTATTGTTGCTGTGTACCATTGAGTTGGAACTGACCCACAGCTGACCCTCCAACAGGTTGTGAGAGGCTGTTAATCACATGGGAGGAGGTTGCCTGTCTTTTTCCACATGGAGCAGGAGGTGTATCTGAACCACGCATCTTTGGGTTGCCAATATAACTCCTTACCACTAGGTTACCAGAGACTTACAACCTTTGAAATCCTCTGAGGCAGTTCTACCCTGTCTTGTAGGGTTCTCCTGAGTTAGGATAGATTCTGGTTTGGCATGGTTTAATCTTGATGAAAGCAGACTCCCAGGTCGTCTTCTCACAGAGTTGCTGGCTGGGTTTGAACCAACTATCTTTTGGTTAGCAGCTGAATGCTCAACAGTTGTGCCACCAGGGCTCCAACTATATACAGTCATTCATCATACTTAAATTTCCCACCATAATGACCGTGGCCTGGGTCTGACACCAGCCAAGGTGATTGATTATTTTACTCTGGTGGGAATGCAGTTTTTAAATTAGATTTTTAGCATTTATTGAAGATTTCTCCCGGACAAGGCGCCCTCATGTGGTCTATTGGTTTGTTCCCACAGCAGCCCTGTCTGTAAATGACGAGCTACAAGTCTCAGGAGAAACACAAGATCATGGTGGTCACACACAGATTTGGAGAGTCAGACTAGTCATGTTCAAATGTGGGTTCTGTGCAACCACACCAAGTGTCCTAACCTTCGTGTGCCTCAGCTTCCTCTCCCACAAAAGGGGTGCCCTAATGACTGGTGAGGTGCTGTAGATTCCAACTCACAGAGAACATAAAAGCCAGAGTAGAATGGTTCTCATAGGCTTTTTCAAGCTTCAACCTTTCCAGGAAGGCCCTCTGGCTGCACAATAGATGAGGGGTTGTGCTGCTAACAAAAATGTCAACACTTTGAACTCACCAGCCACTCCATGGAATAACGACAGGCAGCCTTCTCCCTTTAAGATTTACAGCCTTGGAAACTCACAGGAGGTCATTGTAAGTCAGAGACAATCAGTGGCAGTGGGTTTGGTTCTTGGGAACCTTCACAGGAGCCACTCTCCTGGTCTTTTATCCCACCGAGACCCTGGGGAGGTTGGAACCATTGATCTCTCACCCAACCACTTACTTAACTATGGCACCAGCAAGGTGTCATTTACGTTTTATTACAGGTAGAATATTCCCTAAAGCTGTGGGGAAGCCTTCTAAGCATAAAAAGGGCTAATCATAGAAAGTTTTTTATGTTGCTAAAAATGAAAAAAAAAAAAAGAGTAGGGACCAAGGGGGAAAAAAAAATTATCTAATGATATCTAATGATGATAAAAGGTAGCTTGTAAAAACACAAAATTAGCAGGAGAACGTATAAGAGCTGGCAGCCTCACATTGCCCCTGATCACATAGTTGGAGTCATTCATGATGTCCCGGGCCAATCCGAAGTCACATATCTTCACCACTTTCCCATGGGTCACCAGGACATTCCTGGCCGCCAGGTCTCTGTGCACACACTGAAGAAGAAAGTCAGACTGTTACTTATGATGACACACATTATCATAGCATCTTTCTTTCTGCAGGACTCAAGCTCAAGTTGAGTTAAAGATGAAGAAAAGGTAAGTTCATTAAGGTCTTTCATCAGACTTGGATCCCCAACCATGAAACCCTCACCACTGTCGACTCAATTCCAACTCTCCACTGGATTTCTGAAGCTGGATCTTTACCTGGGACCAGGGACAAAACCCAAGCCTGGGAGCCATGGCTCATGAGACACTGTACTCTGCCATCGAGCTACATCTACAGGCCCTCTGAAGCTGGATCTTTAATGGGGAGAGATTCTCATTTTTCTCCCATGGAGATACCACATGACGGATACAAACAGCTGACCTTTTGGTTAGCAGCCCAACATGTAACACCCTAGACTAACAGACTTGCCTCAACCAGTCATCATGCTATCTAAAATGATGAACATGAGTGGCTTAACTCTTCAGTATTTGTTCTGTGCCTAGAACATTCTCACAGTACAAAAGGGGAAAGATTCTTAGAAGACCAAATGGAGTTGATTAATGTGTTTTGATGTAAGAGATATGACAATAGGTGATCTTACTGGTCTTCTCCCAGGGTTTTTAGAAGTCCCTTCTACAGAGTGTCTTTACTGGTCTCTGTGTGTGGACATACAGCACATTTTGCTGAGTGGAAAGCTGGTTCAGGAATAACATGGAGGAATGTCAGAGAAAGTAAAGGGACCCGGCAGGCCAGCAGGCAGGAAGTAGCACTGCTGCTGGGAAGAGATGTGTTGACCATTTGGAAAAGTTAAAAAAAATAGTCTTGGAGGTGGACTAGAGTAGAGTTAGAGGGAGCTCCCAAGGTGAGAGATGGTGTGGCATTAATCAAAGGGGTTCAGACAAGAAAAGTACCTCTAAAGGCTGACGCAGAGGGTCAGCGGCACCACGTCCCACCCAATCTCAGGCAGTGGCAGCAGCGGGGACCATTCTCACCAGGTCCAAGAGAAGACCTACTACCACAGGGATAACATGGTAACACATTTTGAATCTTCAGTCTTCTTTGAAGGCTACTGTAATGAAGTTTGAGATATGTGTTCTTTTGACAATGTGCAATTTTTTTTCCATGGAATGGATAGATGAGGAAGGAGATCCATGCACGGTGTCATCTCAGTTGGCGTTAGAAGACGTGTTTAGGCTTTATGAGCTAACCAAGGATTCTGAACTCCTAATTCGTGTATTCCCTTATGTACTGGAATGTTCTGGAATTCCATGTCCAGGAGAAGATAAATCCATCTAATACTGACATGCTCACAGCTGGAGACAGGTTTTTTTGTGCAAAGGGCCATATTTTCCAAGCTAGGCATTTCCAGGAAGTATTAAAAGAAGATGGAAGGAATATACTGAGTCATTATATAGAAAGGAATTGGCAGATACAGAGGAATTTAAAGAAATAACATGAGCAAGAGCCTATGGTGATGAAGGAAGAAGTTCAAGCTGCTTTGAAGGAAATAGCAAAAAATAAGGCCCCAGGAATAGATGGTATACCAATTGAAGTATTTCAGATAACAGATGTTGCCCTGGATGTGCTCACCAAGTTGTGCCAAGAAATCTGGAGAATAACCACTTGACCAACTGACTGGAAGAGATCTATATTTGTTCCCATTCCAAAGAAAGGTGACCCAACTGAGTGTGGAAACTACAGAACAGTGTCATTGATTTCACATGCAAGCAAGATTCTGCTGAAGATCATCCAAAAACGATTAGAACAGCACATCAGCAGAGAACTGCCGGAAGTCCAGGCTGGGTTTAGAAGGGGTCGTGGTACTAGGGATATTGTTGCTGATGTTAGATGGATCTTGGCTGAAAGCAGGGAATACCAGAAGAATGTCTATCTGTGTTTCATTGATTATGCAAAGGCATTTGACTGTGTGGATCATAACAAACTGTGGCTGACTCTGAGAAGAATGGGAATCCCAGAACATTTAATTGTGCTAATATGAAACCTATACTTGGACCAAGAGGCAGTAGTCAGAACAGAGCAGGGTAACACTGCATGGTTCAAAATTGGGAAGGGTGTACGCCAGGGATGCATCCTGTCTCCATACCTTTTCAACATGTATGCAGAGCAGATTATTCGAGAGGCTGGGCTCTATGAGGAGAATTGTGGCATCAGGATTGGTGGAAGATCTATTAACAATCTCCGTTATGCAGATGAAACAACCTTGCTTGCTGAAACTGAGGAGGACCTCATGCACTTGCTGCGAAGGGTCAAGGACTGCAGGCTTCAGTATGGACTAAGGCTCAATGTCAAGAATACAAAGATTCTCGCCACTGGACCAATTGGCAGCGTCAGGATGGATGACTAAGAGATTGAGAGTGTTCACAGCTTCACTTTGCTCGGCTCCACAGTCAACACTCTTGGTACTAGCAGTCAGGAAATCAAAAAGCATGTCGCGATGGGAAAGTCTGCCGTTAGGGACCTCTCAAAGGTACTCAGGAGCAACAGTGTCTCTCTGGAGACTAAGGTGCACCTGATACAGGTCATGGTATTTGCAATCGCTTGTTATGCATCAGAGAATTGGACAATGACTAGGGAGGACAGAAGGAGAGTGGATGCTTTTGAGTTGTGGTGCTGGAGAAGGGTAATGAATGTACCATGGACTGCCAGGAAAACAAACAGATTCATCTTGGAGAGGATTAAACCAAGCTGCTCCTTGGAGGCAAGGATTCTGGGGCTTCGTCTGACATACTTTGGACATGTTGCCAGGAGGGACGGGTCCTTGGAGAGGGACATCATGCTTGGGAGTGTGGAGGGACGGCACAGGAGGGGAAGACCCTCTATGAGATGGATTGATTCAGTGACTGGGGTAATCGGGATGGGTGTGTCAGAGGCGGTGCGGTTGGCGCAGGATAGAGCAGGGTTTAGAGCTGTTGTGCATAGGGTCGCTATGAGTCGGAAACGACTCGATGGCACATAACAACACAACAACAAGGCATTTCAACAGGCGTGCTGACTGCCATCGCGCCGACCAAAGATGGGGACTTTGATACTAGGGATAAATGCATCAACTGCAAACTCCTAGTTCATAAAAAGTGCCATGAACATGTCACAGTTGAATGTGGGCAACATTATTTGCCCCCAGAACCAATGATGCCATGGATCCATCATCCATGCATTCAGAACAGGCACAGACAGTAATTCCATATAACCCTCATGTTAAATCAGCTTGTTAAAGAGAAGGAGGCAAAGAATATCAGGGAAAATGGCAAAAGCTTCATCTGGTTTAGGATTTCAGGATTTTGATTTGCTCTAAGTAATAGGAAAAGGAATTTATGCCAAGTTACTTACTAGTTCAATTGAAAAAAAAAAAAAACTAACACAAAACTCCAAAAAACCAAACAAACCACAAACCCATAAAACACCAAAGAAACACAAACCCAGATTTTAATTATGCCATGAAAGCTGTGAAAAAAAAAACAGTTTGTTAATGACGACGAGGATATTGATTGGGTGCAAACAGAGAAGCATATTTTTGAGAGGCATCCAATCAGCTTTTTCTTGGTCGGCTGCATTCTTGCTTTCAGACAGAAAGCGCGTTGTTCTTTGTTACTGAGTATGTCGATAGAGGAGAACTAATGTTTGATATGCAGCCAAAGAGAAAACTTCCTGAAGAACATGCCAGATTTCACTCTGCAGAAATCAGTCTAGCATTAAATTATCTTCATGAGCGAGGGATAATTTATATAGAAATTTACAATTGGACAATGTGTATTACTGGACTCTGCAGGACACATTAGACTCACTGACTATGGCACATGTAAGGAAGGATGGCGGCCTGGAGATAAACAAGCACTTTCTGTGGTGCCCTAATTGCATCGCTGCTGAGATTTTAAGAGAAGAATATGGTGTCAGTGCCAACTGCTGTGGTGTTGGAGTACTAATGTCTGGGTGGGCTTTAAAAAATTTTTTTTATAATGTGTGTGTGTGTGTGTGTGGGTGTGGGTGTATCATCAAATCGGATCTGACAGGTACAGGAGGAAATTGCCCCTCTGATCAAAACACAGAGGATTATCTCTCCCAAGTTATCTTGGAAAACCAAATTCAAATATCACATTCTCTCTCTGTGAAAGTGGCAAGTGTCCGGAAAAGTTTTCTCAACAAAGATCCAAAAGAATGGTTGGGTTGTTATCCTCAAACTGGACTCAGGGACATCCATTCTTTCAAAATGTTGATGGGACTATGATAGAGAAAAAAAGATGGTATTGCCTTCAGATATTTCTGGAGAATTTTATTTAGACAACTTTGGTTCTCAGTTTACCAATGAACCTGTCCAGCTCACTCCCAGGACATTGTAAGGAAGATTGACCAGTCTGAATGGGAAGGTTGCGAGGATATCAATCCTCTTCTGATAGCTGCAGAAGAATGGGACTGATCTCATTTGCCAACTATGTATGTTGCTTGTACTGTATTTAATGCATGGATAAACATGTTAAACCAGCCTGAATATAATGATATAAATTTAAAAACAAACCATTTTCACATTTTCCACCTTCAAAATGCACCCAATATCTTCTGTTCTTGACTATATGAGTCAGGTATTTAACATCTAAATGAAACAGTGAAGGGAAAGGGGGAAGAAACTAATTTCTAGACAAGCAATCATGTAAAAATGTAAATATACTATTCTTCAATGACCCACTTAAGCGTTAAAATATTCTCTCTTTTACGGTCTTCTCAATTACTTGTTATGCTTCAAAGAGTTGGATGGTGACTAAGGATGTCAGAAGAAGAATGGATGCCTTCGAGTTGTGGTGTTAGAGAAGAGTCTTGAACATACTGTGGACTGCCAAGAAAACAAATAGGTCTGTCTTGGAGAGGGTGAAGCCAAGTTGCTCCTTGGAGGCCAGGAGTTTGAAGCTCCGCCTCACTTACTTTCCTTAGACCATTCTTTAGAGAAAGACATCATACTCAGAAGGTTGGCAAACAGCGCAGCAGAGGGAGATCCTGG